CCAGGAAAGGGGGTGTAAAGGCTTGGGGGGATATTTTGAGGAAATAGAAACTCCAAGTGGTCCTTTCCCTGATTGTTTGTTAAATCACTTGGTGGTGGCAGCGTTTACCTAATCCAAGGGCAAAGACTTTGTGCCTTGGGGAAGTTTTAACCTAAGCTGGTAGAAATAAGCTTAGGGGGGTCTTTCATGCAGGTCCCCACATTGTACCCTAGAGTTCAAAGTGGGGAAGGAACCCTGACAAGGGCCACTGAACTGAACAATACTTCCCGAGCTTTCTACCAGAAGGGTCATTGACTTTGTTTCTCTATATAGAAGCTGACAGCGCAGGGCTGGGGGCTGCAACCTGGATCTCCCCCATCTTGCAGCACCTGCAGAAACACAGGACAGAGTCAGATTTAAAATGGGTGCTTCTCCAAGCAAGGGAAGCTCGTTGGGGGAGGTCCCGGATGATTGGAAAAAGGCAAATATAGTGCCCATCTTTAAAAAAGGGAAGAAGGAGACTCCGGGAACTACAGACCAGTCAGCCTCTCCTCAGTCCCTGGAAAAATCATGGAGCAGGTCCTCAAGAAATCCATTTGGAAGCACTTGGAAGAGAGGAAGGTGATCAAGAACAGTCAGCATGAATTCACCAAGGGCAAGTCATGTCTGACCAACCTGTTTGCCTTCTATGATGAGATAACTGGTTCTGTGGATATGGGGAAAGCGGAGGACGTGATATACCCTGACTTTAGCAAAGCTTTTGATGAGGTCTCCCACAGTATTCTTGACAGCAAGTTAACAGGTATGGACTGGATTAATTCTATCCGCTATAAGGTAAATAGAAAGCTGGCTAGATTGTCGGGCTCAATGGGTAGTGATCAACAGCTCGATGTCTAGTTGGCAACCAGTATCAAGCGGAGTGCCCCAGGGATCGGTCCTGGGGCCAGTTTTGTTCAACATCTTCATTAATGATATGGATGATGGGATGGATTGCACCCTCAGCAAGTTCGCGGATGACACTAAGCTGGGAGGCGAGGTAGATACGGTGGAGGGTAGGGATAGGGTCCAGAGTGACCTAGACAAATTGGAGGATTGGTCCAAAAGAAATCTGATGAGGTTCAACAAGGACAAGTGCAGAATTCTGCACTTAGGACAGAAGAATCCCATGCACTGCTACAGGCTGGGGACCGACTGGCTAAGCGGCAGTTCTGCAGAAAGGGACCTGGGGATTACAGTGGACGAGAAGCTGGATATGAGTCAACAGTGTGCCCTTGTTGCCAAAAAGGCTAATGGCATATTGGGCTGCATTAGTAGGAGCATTGCCAGCAAATCGAGGGAAGTGATTATTCCCTTCTATTCGGCACTGGTGAGGCCACATCTGGAGTACTGCGTCCAGTTTTGGGCCCCCGCTAGAGAAAGGATGTGGACAAATTGGAGCGAGTCCAGCGGAGCACAACGAAAATGATCAGGGGGCTGGGGCACATGACTTACGAGGAGAGGCTGAGGGAACTGGGCTTAATTAGTCTGCAGAAGAGAAGAGTGATGGGGGAATTTGATACCAAACTTCAACTACCTGAACGGGGGTTCTAAAGAGGATGGAGCCAGGCTGTTCTCAGTGGTAGCAGATGACAGAACAAGGAACAATGGTCTCAAGTTGCAGTTGGGGAGGTCTAGGTTGGATATTAGGAGAAACTATATTTCACTAGCAGGTGAAGCACTGGAATGGGTTACCTAGGGAGGTGGTGGAATCTACATCCTTAGACGTTTTTAAGGCCCAGCTTGACAAAGCCCTGGCTGGGATGATTTAGTTGGGGTTAGTCCTGCTTTGAGCAGGGGGTTGGACTAGATGACCACCTGAGGTCTCTTCCCAACCTAATCTTCTATGATCCCTTTGTAACTCTTTGCGTCTGCTTTGGACTTAACCATCTTGAGTAGTTCTGAATCATCTGCTAATTTTCCTACCTCACTGTTTACCCTTTTTCCAGATCATTTATGAATATGTTAAATAGTACTGGTCCAAGTAAAGACTCCTGGGGGACACCACTATTTCCTCTCCATTCTGAAAACCGACCATTTATTCCTACCCTTTGTTTCCTATCTTTTAACCAGTTACCTATCCATGAGAGGACCTTCCCTCTTATCCCATGACAGCTTACTTTGCTTACGAGCCTGTGGTGAAGGACCTTGTCAAAGGCTTTGTGAAAATTTAAGTATGCTATATCCACTGGATCCCCCTTTGCTTGTTGACCCCCTCAGAGAATTCTAGTAGATTGGTGAGGCATGATTTCCCTTTACAAAAAACATGTTGATTCTACCCCAACAACTCATGTTCATCCATGTGTCTGACAATTCTGTTCTTTACTATAGTTTCAACCGGTTTACCTGGTACTAAAGTTAGGCTTACTGGCCTGTAATTGCCAGGATCATGTCTGGAGCCTTTTTCAAAATTTGGCATCACATTAGCTATCCTCCAGTCATTTGGTACAGAAGCTGATTTAAATGAGAGGTTACAGACTACAGTTAATAGTTCTGCAATTTCACATTTGAGTTCCTGCAGAACTCTTGGGTGAATGCCATCTGGTCCTGGTGACTTATTACTGTTTAGTTTATCAGTTTTTTCCAAAACCTCCTCTATTGACACCTCAATTTGGGACAGTTCCTCACATTTGTCACTTAAAAAGAATGGGTCAGGTTTAGGAATCTCCTTCACATCCTCAGCCGTGAAGACTGATGCAAATAATTCATTTAGTTTCTCCGCAATAGCCTTATTGTCCTTGAGTGTTTCTTTAGCATCTTGATCATCCAGTAGCCCCACTGGTTGTTTAGCAGGCTTCCTGCTTCTGATGTACTTACAAAAAATATTTGCTATTACTTTTTGAGTCTTTGGCTAGCTATTCTTCAAATTCTTTTTTGGCTTTCCTAATTATATTTTTACACATTCATTTGCCAGAATTTATGCTCCTTTCTATTTTTCTCAATAGGATTTAACTTCCTGTTTTTAAAGAATGCCTTTTTGCCTCTCACTGCTTCTTGTACTTAGTTGTTCTACTCCATCATATAACTTTATATCCATAAAAAGCGGACAGTCCTTTCTCAGTGCATAATACAGGATGTTAATATTACAGCCCACTAAAAATATGGTGCTGAGTTAGTATTTTCTGATATTACAGGTAATGCATCAGTTTTAGAGCTTAGGTGTGTTTCAGCAAAGCCCAAAACACTCTAACAATGAGATTTAGGGCCCCTGGCCTCCAGAGACCAGTTATGTCAGTGGAAAGACTCCCAAGAACGCCAGTGGTTTTTGCATCAGGCCTTTAAGGAACAGGTTTCCAGTTGACTGCCAAATAGGTAGATTTTAATTGTTTTTAAAAGTGCTAATTTAATATTTGAAAATATCTAGTCTATCTTTGTGTATAGAAGAAATATTAAAGAACAAGGACTTCAGTCATACATTGTAGAGAATCAGCAGATCCAATCTTGAAAGACTAATTTTGACTCCTGGGATTTTTGCACTGAAAAAGAAACAGATTTACAATCAGAGTATGTATAATCAGTGCAACCTGAACTGTACAAGTAAACGTAACTTAAAAAGAGACTTTCCAGTCATATTACTAGTTAGTTAATATTTGTCCATTTTAGGTCAGTCTAACTATCAAATAAAGGCTCTTTATTAGGATATCAAACAAATCTTATAGAAGCTGTTCAGATAGCACGAATCTAGCCTTATGCCATTTTGACGCTATGACAAATCTTGGCCATACTGCTAAACATGCAAAAAGAGCACCTAACTTTCCATAGGCAGTGTTTCTAGCTTTTAATAGACACATCAACGTGCCACTCCCAACACTACAGAAGCAGAAGAAAATACCGCATGTATCTCAGAGTACACCATGGGGTGTAATTCTCCTCGTCTCGCTATTCAGACAGCGGACAGGGTGTTGTGTGCGAGACCTGTGTAAGCAGAGGAAGGAGCAGAATGCTCTTGGGACTGCTGAACAAGGCGACTACATGGTCCCTTAGAAAAACACCAGATTGGTGGTGAGAAAGTGATGGGCCAGTGCAGAACTGGGAGGGTTTTAAAATAGGTTTCAGTGAGACCCATGGTGGTATGACGAAACCCCAGCAAGGCAACGCAGTGGCACCCAAGGCACCCGAAGAGAACAATGGACAGCGCGCTCTGCCGTATCACGCAGGACCGGCGCGCAGGGTGCAAGGAAATGCTGTAGCACGAGCTCCGTGACGCAATACCCCCGAATGCACGGCGGGCGATGTACAGCCGCCACGCCACGGGCTGCAACAGTACCACCCCCTCCGCGCTGCCGCTGCTGGGTTCAGATTCTCCCGCCAACACGCCCCTGGGCGCGGAGCCCCTCAGAGAGGAAGGAGGGAGCGGGCGCGCGGCGCCAGCTGCAGGACGAGCCCACAAGGGCACTCATGGCGGGGGGGGGTAGAGAAACATGCCCGCCCCCCCGTGCGAGGACTTGCGCCCGTTCCGAACCTCCATGTTCCCCTCGGGCGCTGATAGGGCAGGATCACTTCCCGGGCTGAAGGGGGGAGGGGGCTCTCCCGGCTTGAGACAGCAGGTTCTTTCTCGTCACAAACTCACGCCCCTTTCCTCGATGGTCGGGCCCTGGCCGCCAGCGCATGCGCTCTAATAGGAGGCGGGCGAGGGGCGTGTGTCGCGCGGGAGCGCAGCTCCCCGGTCAGTCTGTGCCGGCGGGAGGCGCGAGCGGGGTGACTTGAGGAGGCTGCGACAGCGACCCCCCCCCCCCGGCCCGTCACCGCGCATACCGGCTGTGGCCCCAGCGCTGCCCCGAGCCTCCAGCGCGCCATGTCCTTCCGCCAGAGGAGCCCCCACGGCGGCGGCGGCGAGAGCAGGTGGGCGGTGGCGGGGGCAGGTGTCTCCGGTCCCGCCGCTGCCCGCGGCGGCAGCGTCGCGGGGGAGCCGTTCCCCCCCCCCCCCCCCCCCCGAGCGGCGGGGAAGTTTCCCGCCGAGAGGCAGCGCGGCCGGGTGACCCCGAGCCCGCCCGCCCGCCTCCGTTTTCGGGGGCAGCCCCTGGGCTCGTCCACAGACCGGGCTTGGTGTGACTCCTCCCTCGAACCCGGGCGGCCGAGGGCGCCCAGAGCCGGGGCATTTCCCCGGGCTGGTGAAAGCGGGCCGGGGGGTGTCACGTCTCATGAAGAGAAGCGCCACCCGGAGTCGGGGCGGGTATCCTGCGGGCTCGCTTGAAGTGAAGGAAGGGTCGGGCAGGGGGCGAAGAAACACATGGTCTTGGCATAGGCTCCCGGTACGGGAAAAGTGGGGGAGGGGATGCAGATTTGAGAGAGGGGACACCCAGGTTTTTAGATCCCCTTCCAGGAAGACAGCAGTTCCTGTGCAGATTCGAGTTGAGAAGCCTTTCAGGGACAAAATAGGGAACTGCTGGGTGTTGCGTTCAAGGTAAAAGGGGTGCCTGTATGCTTATTATTGCAATCTTTGTTGCATTGTGGCTGTAAAAGGTTACAAAGCCAGCATGTAAGTTTCACTTTTTAAAGACTGACCTATTTCCCAGCAGCCCACAACACCCAGCTCGTTGGTCTCAAGGAAGGAAACGTGGAGCAGATGGGAAACGCAGAAAACAGAATGATGCAGATTCGTCCGTTTTTGATGATGAAAACAAGTATGGACCCTCTGACAACAGGTTGGATAGGTATGTTTAATAAAGGATTTGTTCATAGAGTATGCAGCTGAAACAGGCTTGTGCTTCCTGTGCATGAGAAACAGTGAAACTGACCAGTATATTTTCACTTTCCAACCCTCCTGTGATATATCACTATCTAGTAACCTGGGGGGGGGGGAGCATGGGGAGAGAGAGACAGGGATTAAAGTACTAGTAGGGTGTAAAAACCAAGGAGTGAAAAACATTGCTTAGTGACTTTGTACCTTTTTATCTTGGAGCTACTTCCTGTGATGAATAAATAGCTGGGTTGTTCTTTTCTGCCCTGTTTTTTGTTAACGGCACCCCTGATCGCTGGAAGGCCTGAATCTGCTCATCTTGCACAGACTCTCAAAGCTAAATTATCTGCATCATGTGACCTTATGGTTGAGATGAGTGAGCAGAGAAGAGGGACTTGAGGGAGTGGCATGAGTTAAAGCTCATGGGAGCAGTTCCCAGGACTGGATGCTTTAGGGCTACTGCAGGAGCAGGGAAGCAGTGTGGATCGCTTTCCAAGGAGCTACTTTTAGCTTTGGAAGAATGCATGCAGGGGATCAATTTGAGGTCATACATTGTTCCCTGTTCATGCTGCTACTTTTTGCCCTCATCCACCAGGATGGGAAACGTCCGTTGAGCAGCAAAATAGGTCTGATAAGTAGGAACATTGGGATAAAATTAGAAAAGGTAAATTTGAGCTGCATATTGGAAAACATGCTCTCATGGTGAGGTATGTTAGGTTTTACAATAGTCAAAAGGGAGATTGTGGCTTCATTGATTAAAGTATTTAAGATTGGTCTGGACAGAGCACTGGACAACATACTGTAATGCCATAGATCCAAAGTTTCATATTGTGATGCAGTTTTGTGAGCTGCGGCAGCTCTAGAGCTCGCTTACATGAAAAAGCAAGCATTAAGTAAACAAAGGTGGGGAAAATGCACTTTGTTGATATTGCCTTTCTGTGACAGGTAAATTACATCCTCCGTTATTTTATTTTTTTTGTAATCTGTGTAGTTGAATCGACACAGTCAATTAAAGAATGCTCTTGTGGAGGGAGGAAAACTGTTCTCCTTAATCTCTGAGGATATGACAAGAAGCACTGGGCTTAAATTGCAAAAAGGGCAGTTAAGGTTGGGCATTAGAAAAAAATTCCTAACTGTCAGCGTGGTTAAGCACTGGAATAAATTGCCTAGGGAGGTTGTGGAATCTCTATCATTGTCTAACCTGTTCTCAAAAATCTCCAAACACCTGTCAGGGATGGTCTAGATAATTAGTCCTGCCATCAGTGCAAGGGACTGGACTAGATGACCTCTCGAGGTCCCTTCCAGTCCTACGATTCTGTGACTAAAAATATTAAAAAAAAAAAAAAAAAAAAAATCCAATATGCATGATACACACACCAAGCATGGTTGTATTGGTATAAATTCAGATGCCTGGAAAAGCCCCTGGAAAGATTAGAAAAGTCCTGAAACTACTTCTGTACGTCACGGAGAAGTACTCTGCAGACTGCCAATTGCCTACCGATAGGGCCCTGTGAAAATTGTGGTTTCACAGACTGCATGGCAGGGTGGATTTGGTTTAAATCACTGGTCAGGAAGACTCGATTTAATCATGGTTTTCTACATAAAAGTGCATTCTTCATGGTTATAACCTTAACACACACTCTTCACAACTCAGAGATAGATGTAGGTTTCATCTTTAGAAGGTACAGACTATACATTTTTAAACAGTGATTTATTTTGAAAACTTTTCAGATTAGTTTTACAGCTATATCAGAAAATGAATGATTGTTTGGTTATTTCATTTAACAAAGGTAATTGAATCAGATATTTATGAAGTCACTGGAAGGTGAACTATCTCCGGTTCAACAGATTAATCATGAATATTATGAGGCTTTTCTTGCTGTGCTGTATTAGGAGGAGAACATCACCAGACAGACATTTCAATTTGTTTTATTTAACTAAAACAACAACTGTTAAGTATTCTGGATTTTTTTCTTCAACAGCAAACGTATAATATTTTAACAAAAAAAGCCTATGTCCCTCGCTTCTCACATTTATCTCCAGACTTCTTCTCATTGTCCAAGTCTATTCTGCACCCAACAATCTTCTATTCATTGAACTTTTTGAAACTTTGCACTTTTAGAGAGAGGTAAGGGATTGACTCTGTGTACACATATTTACAGAGGGACAATAGAGTTGAGGTCTGTTATTTCTCACCTCTCTATTTATTTGAAAACATTTTTGCTGTTAACAAGCATGTTACCTCTGAAGACACACATCCACAGTTTGAGAACTGCAAAATTAAGCATTTCTGATGGTATCTTCTAGACTGAGTACTGAGTCCCATTAGGTAAATAGAGAGATTAACCTAAATAATCTATACAGAAGCCTGTGGAACCCCATATAATTGGGTCCCTAATCCATTAATTTTTGGAAGTCATTTACAAAACTTTTCTTAAACATTACCTGAATATATTGTCTCATACTATAGAATTAGAATTTATAATCCCTATTCCATGATGAGATATCTTTGAGCTATAGTGTATCTTAATTAAAACTATCTTTAGATTGCTTTTTTCCTCAAAAAGCATTTTATCAAAAATCTGATTTAAATAAAAAAATCTGGGTTTTTAAATCATTGATTTTTTTTTTTTTTTTTGCTGCACAGGAATTGTGAAATTAGCCCATTTTTTCCAACGGCTGGGTGGTGGAAGCAGGCATTCCTGCTTTTGCCTCCCCACTGAGGACCCATCCGTTGGTGGAGAGGTTAGTGGGGCAGTGGGGGAGAGGTGGCAGGCTGGTCCTATTCTAGAGGGTAGGGGGAGCGTCTTTCACCAGTGGCCAACATCCAGGCGGCGGCGGCTGCTGCTGCAGCTTGCTGGCTGGCAAGGATGGGAGGGGGGGTGGTAGTGACAAGGTGGCCATTAGAAGTCCTGACCTAGCCAACCCCAGAGTGACCCACGCAGGCCCTGGGGAGACACCACAGTGCTATCTGGTGAGGAACTGAGTGGGTCCACACACCCCAGCATAGTGGCCACTATTGCTTGGGACACAAGCAGGTGTGTGTGGGTCTCCTTCTCCAGTGGGGTTATCAGTGTGGGGAGATGGATCCTGGTCTCATTAACTAAACCTGGACCTGCTGTGAATTTAAAAAAAAAATAAAAAAATTGTGATCCCCCTACCTCCCCAGGGCCACAGTGAGAACTAGTGCTCTAAGAAGTAGTCTTGCATCAGCAGAGTGATGAACTAGATTGCCTAAAAGGACTTTTCCCATCTCTGATTTTTACCGCAGACCACTCCTGGAGTCTTGTGCACAACTTTGGACACCATATTAGAGGAAAGATAGACTATTCAGCCTCCTAGTTGCAGTAACCAGAAATATACTCAGAGTTTAGGCAAAATGTCAGATCTGCTGCTTGTAGTGGTTTTTAATGTAATATAAAGTATGCTATTTTTTTCCTTCCCTACCTTAAAATCTGTAGTTTTTGTTTAACTGCAGAGGCCGGCATTATAAATGAGAATCTACCTACTGAAATGTGGTATTTTGAAAAGTGAATTGTCATTGAGTTCAGTGTTTGTGTCCCACTTCCGTTTCAAGGCTTCAGAATGTGCTCCGTTTACAAGGAAGAAGTTTCTTATCCTATGACCCTGCAAACTCAATTTAGCAGTTGAAAGTCAAGCTTTGTTTGTGCCTTGTCTGTTGGCAGGCCAGATTCTCTCACCTGTGCATCCCCATTGCCTTAAATTACACTTGCATGGTCCCATTATCAGCTCTGCAATTTGTTGATGCCAAAAACATAACAGAATACAAATCTTTCCCCCTTAGCTGTCACACTGTCTATAGCGAGTGCCTACCTCAGGATGGACACCTGGATCACTGTACCAGTCTTGCCATGGAGTCAGTCTTTAGCCTCTCCAGTCTATCTTGCCATCCAGACAAACTGAACATTGTGATAAAAGGTTATTAAAACCTAAAATCACACCAGATCCGGTTTCTCCCAGTCCCAAGAGCCCATTTACACCAGATCTGTTGATATTCCAGATCTTAGACCAAAGACGATGCTGGCAGCCAGTTCTGTAGTAAACTAACTATAGGTTTATTAGCTTAAGAAAAAAGAGTTATTGAGAGGTTAAAGCAGGTAAAATATAACAGGTAAATCAGTTTGTAACTCCAGTGGTGACAGTGATGTAATAAACTTCTAGTTTCCCAAAAGCCTTTCGGGGCTACCCAGATTAATTCCGGGTATCTCCCTCTTCTCATTCAGTTATTCTGCCCTGTTAGAATCCAAACGTTCCAGAGATGATGGCTCATTTCTTGAATCCATATTTATAGCTCCTTTACACAAAAGCAAGCTGACAGTCTATCACCTGAGCTTTTCCCTTGAAGACGAGGTGTGAGAAATGGACATAGACTTTTGACCTCCCACCATATGCATAATGGCCACTCACTTTGAAATTAGCATTTTCTGTTAAAGTCCTTAAGTCCTTCTTTAGCATTTTACAAAATTTCCTTGATGGGCAATTTATTTATCAGGGTATTTACTGTGTAAATGTTTGCTACTACGTACATTATGACAGGAATAGATAAATGAAAACAGTACCAGTAACGTTCCACTAGTTTTCATGAAGTTTAAAAATCTGAATACATGCTTATATCTAACCATTACTTTGCTGTACACAAGTGAATTGACCTGAATATGCTCCAGCATGACCTGGTTATCCAGTGTCACAAGCTGTACAAGCTCTGCAATGGTAACTAGCCTGAAACTTTTTTATTAGTGCATGTATATATGATTGGATACACATAAGGAATACAATGAGTAAGCAGTTCTATTGAAAATACTTTTAATTAGCTACCAAATTAGAGATTAATTAGGTGGGGGAATTGGGATAACATTCCAGTTTTCATGCAGAGATTTTGTTTTTCAGTTTTACAACACCAGAAGGTCCTGGGCCCTTTTCAAGATGTTCAGACTGGGGATCTGTAGTTGAAGAAGATGAAATGAGGACCAATGTTAATAAAGAAATTGCAAGGTACCATAGGTTATATATGATTGGAGTTGCAAAGAAGACCTGTTCTTGTAGAGAGGATTGGGCCAAAAGAAATCTGATGAGGTTCAATAAGGATAAGTCCAGGGTCCTGCACTTAGGACGGAAGAACCCAATGCACAGCTACAGACTAGGGATCGAATGGCTAGGCAGCAGTTCTGCGGAAAAGGACCTAGGGGTGACAGTGGACGAGAAGCTGGATATGAGTCAGCAGTGTGCCCTTGTTGCCAAGAAGGCCAATGGCATTTTGGGATGTATAAGTAGGGGCATTGCCAGCAGATCGAGGGACGTGATCGTTCCCCTCTATTCGACATTGGTGAGGCCTCATCTGGAGTACTGTGTCCAGTTTTGGGCCCCACACTACAAGAAGGATGTGGATAAATTGGAGAGAGTCCAGCGAAGGGCAACAAAAATGATTAGGGGACTGGAACATATGAGTTATGAGGAGAGGCTGAGGGAGCTGGGATTGTTTAGTCTGCAGAAGAGAAGAATGAGGGGCGATTTGATAGCTGCTTTCAACTACCTGAGAGGTGGTTCCAGAGACGATGGTTCTAGACTATTCTCAGTGGTAGAAGAGGACAGGACAAGGAGTAATGGTCTCAAGTTGCAGTGGGGGAGGTTTAGGTTGGATATTAGGAAAAACTTTTTCACTAGGAGGGTGGGGAAACACTGGAATGCGTTACCTAGGGAGGTGGTAGAATCTTCTTCCTTAGAAGTTTTTAAGGTCAGGGTTAACAAAGCCCTGGCTGGGATGATTTAATTGGGGATTGGTCCTGCTTTGAGCAGGGGATTGGACTAGATGACCTCCTGAGATCCCTTCCAACCCTGATATTCTATGATTCTAGTCATAGCTGCTTTTTTACCTTCGGTATTACAGCAGTACAATAATGAAATATCACTTATGGCTGTCATATGTAGGGACAAGTTCTGATTTCTGTTCCCAGGCCAGCTTAGACTTAGAAATACTGTAAAAGTGATGTGATGTAGTCCTTTTGAAGGAGGTGACCAACATCACTGATCTGCCAACAGTCTAGCAGATACAGGATTGGCTTGCTGTGAGATTGACTGACTCTCTTTGAATGTCATTCCATCCACTACTCATCTGTTTGCATGGTAATTATTGTGATAAGACTTGAGGTGGAGTTTTGAAAGATGAATCTTCAGATTCCAAGAGAGAAATGAAGGACCCATTTCCATGATGGAAAAATGCTTACCGTGCACCTATGATTTGAACTTCACTGATGATTAAGGTCAGAAGGAACCCACTATCCTCATCCTCTAGTCTGACCTCCTGCACATTGAAGGCCACAGAACCTTACCCACCCACTCCTGAAATAGACTCCTAACCTCTGGTTGATTTACTGAAGTCTTCAAATTATGATTTAAAGACTTCAAGTTACAGAGAATCCACCATTTACACTACTTTAAACCTGCAAATGACCCGTGCCCCATGCTGCAGAGAAGGGCAGGGAACCTGGGTTTTTTTGCCTATCTGACCTGGTGAAAATTCCTTCCCAACCCCAAATACGGCGGTCAGTTAGACCCTGAGCATGTGGGCAAGGCCAGCCAGCCAATGTTGCAGTGAAGATGAACATTAATAGAGGTTACATTAATTATGCAGTGGAAACAATTTATGAAAGTAACATACATTTTTCTTATATTTTAAACAAGTATTTATACTGAATAAACTGTCTTTTCTAGATACAAAAGAAAGCTCTTGATAAATGAATTTGCAAGAGAAAGGAAGTCCTCTTCTGGAAGGTAAGTGTAAATTCATCTCTTGAGATCAAAGGAAAAATATCCTGCAATAGTTACTTTTAAACTCCTTGCATGTCCATGATTTTCTTGTTGTAAATAATCAACTTGAGGTAATTTGTTTTAACAAGTTCACCTTGTAACATGCTAATTCAACAAAATCCTGAACAGTTCAGAGATAAACCGAATTAGTGCAGCAGGTCTGAGGATTGCTGCAGCTGTGTGTTCTGGTGCTCACAAGATCATAATGCAATTCAAATCTAGATATATTTTTCTTTAGTTCTGATTCAAAGGAATCCACTGTAGCAGTAGAACTTGAGACAGATGAAGTGGTTCTGATGAGAAGGCAAAAACAGATAAATTATGGAAAAAACACAATTGCATATGACAGATACATTAAAGAAGTTCCAAGGTAAGTTTCAGTGGTGTACTATAAATATGTAAACATTGTGCATGTCTGGTTCTTCACATTTGATTACTTATTAAATTTGTTTATAGACCAAACTTCCTGGGGTGGAGGAGGGAGAAACCTGAGCCGCACAATAATCAAGAGGCTTAACTGTCTTAAATACCTGCCTGGGTTTAGAACCAACCCAAAATATTCTGAGAATGGGATTTAATAGGCTTCCAGTGTTAGACAAATTTAGTCACTTTAAAGATTATTTGAAAAGCTATAGTGGAATTTTCATGACAATTTTCTAAATAAATAGGTGTCATCGAGTACCAGGGGTCCATCCCAGAACTCCAAATAAATTTAAGAAGTATAGCCGTAGGTCCTGGGACCAGCAGATCAGACTCTGGAAGGTTGCTTTGCATTCTTGGGACCCTCCTGCTGAAGAAGGAAGTGACTTGCAAGCAATGTATGTATCAAACAAACAATTTTTTCTTCTAATATATTTTTCTTCAGAAAATATGACTATGCTATCATCTGAGTCCTCTATTGAACATTTTAATTCATCTGCAGCTTTTCAAAGTGATTAAAGCAGTATTAAGTGTTCGCACCGTATAAACACTTTTCTATTTTTAGCTGAGTTCCAATTCAGTTCACCTTTAGTCGGAATATGTAAGACTCACCTGGCTCTCCATATTTAGCAAGCCTGTGGCTTCCATTGTCATCAAGGATAACTTCTGTTCCAAGTCCTTAAGGCTACCTTTTGCCAAATTTTAGTGCTATATCTTAGTAAACCCAAGAAGTTACTATTAAGGGCTTCAGAGTAACAGCCGTGTTAGTCTGTATTCGCAAAAAGAAAAGGAGTACTCGTGGCACCTTAGAGACTAACCAATTTATTTGAGCATGAGCTTTCGTGAGCTACAGCTCACTTCATCGGATGCTTGAAGGCCCTGCCTGTCAGAACCTAAAGTTCATTCTAGTCAATAGATTAAACAAGCCCCCCTGTCACCGTTATTTCATATCTGAAGCACTGTTCTGGCACAACAAAAATTGGCAGAAACTATTATATCTATCTTATGTTCAGAATGGTATAAATCAGCAATACTTGCAGCTCAGGAGCCTCTGTTTAAGTGGCTCTTTGCAGCACATGATATTAAAATGTGTGATTTTAATAATTAATCAGGAGGCTTTTACTATGTTATTAACCAATTGTAGTTGATAGGCTAGTCAGTTAATCACAGTTAATTCACATGATTAACTACAAAAAAATAATTTCCGTTTAATCAGTTAATACATTCTAATTTTACATTTTCAAATATAATTTCAATTACAACACAAAATACAAAGTGTACAGTGCTCACTTTATTTTTATTACAAATATTTGCACTGTAAAAAAAGTTTTTTTCAAATACCGCATACAAGTACTGTAGTGCACCTTACAAATGTAGATTTTTTGTTTTGTTACACAACTGTTTTGTTTTTGAATGCAATGTAAAACTTCAGAGACTACAAGTCCTTTCAGCCAATTGCTAAGACAAACAAATTTGTTTACATTTATGGGAGATAATACTGCCTGCTTCTTATTTACAGTGTCACCTGAAAGTGAGAACAGCCATTGGCATGGCACTTTGGTAGCTGGCGTTGAAAGGTATTTACGTACCAGATATGCTAAACATTCATATGTCCCTTCATGCTTTGGCCACCGTTCCAGAGGACATGCATCCATGATGACGAGTTCTGCTCGATAACCATCCAAAGCAGCTCAGAGTGATACACGTTAATTTTCATCATTTCAACAGAAGGTTGACTTTCTCTTGTTTCGGATTCTGCAGTTTCCACATTGGAGTGTTGCTCTTCTAAAACTTCTGACAGCATGTTCCACATCTTATCCCTCTCAAATTTTGGAAGGCACTTCAGATTCTTAAATCTTGGGTTGAGTGCTGTAGTTATCTTTAGAAATCTCACATTGGCACCTTCTTTGTGTTTTGTCAAATCTGCAGTGAAAGTGTTCTTAAATCAAACGTGCTGGGTCATGATCTGAGACTGCTAGAACATGAAATATATGGCAGAATGTAGGTAAAACACAGCAAGAGACAGACAATTCTTACCCAAGTAGTTCAGTCACAAATTTTAATTAATGCATTATTTTTTAACGAGTGTCATCAGCATGGAAGCATGTCTTCTGGAATGGTGGCCGAAGCATGAAGGGGCATACGAATGTTTAGCATATCTGGCACATAAATAAATACCTTGCAATGCTGGCTACTAAAGTGCCATGCCAATGCAAAGTCTCACTTTCAGGTGACATAATAAATAAGCGGGCAGCATCCTATCCTGTAAATGTAAATAAACTTGTTTGTCTGAGCGATTGGCTGAACAAGAAGTAGGACTGAGTGGACTTGTAGGCTCTAAAGTTTTACACTGTTTTGTTTTTAAGTGCAGGTATGTAACAAAAAATACATTTGTAAGTTGCACTTTCATGATAAAGAGATTGCACTACAGTACTTGTATTTTTCAGTTCACCACATACTATTTTTACAGTGCAAATATTTGTAACAAAAAATAGTGAGCACTGTACACTTTGTATTCTGTGTTGTGATTTAAATCAATATATTTGAAAATGTAGAAAAACGTCCAAAAATATTTATAATAAAGTTCAGTTGGTATTCTAGAATTGTTTTAGTGTAACTAACTGTGATGTTAATTGCAATTATTCATAATTATTTTTTTGATCATTTGACAGCCCTAGTAGTTAATAAAATAATGACTTGGTCAGTCATTTCGCTGTGAGAATAAAATAAATAAATATTTCCCCTGTCATTCCATTTAAATATGAAAATATATATATAGTAAATGAAACAATGAATTCACTCTACTGGCTGTATTGGGTAATGTTGATCCCTAATTTGGGTCCTGAACCACTGAAGTCTGAGCATCACTGGTATGAATAGCACAAAGCAATTTAGGCATTGTTGCCCTGTTTTGCTGTGGCAGTGCGAATCATAGAATATCAGGGTTGGAAGGGACCTCAGGAGGTCATCTAGTCCAACCCCCTGCTCAAAGCAGGACCAATCCCCAATTAAATCATCCCAGCCAGGGCTTTGTCAAGCTTGACCTTGAAAACTTCTAAGGAAGGAGATTCTACCACCTCCCTAGGTAACGCATTCCAGTGTTTCCCCACCCTCCTAGTGAAAAAGTTTTTCCTAATATCCAACCTAAACCTCCCCCACTGCAACTTGAGACCATTACTCCTTGTCCTGTCCTCTTCTACCACTGAGAATAGTCTAGAACCATCGTCTCTGGAACCACCTCTCAGGTAGTTGAAAGCAGCTATCAAATCCCCCCTCATTCTTCTCTTCTGCAGACTAAACAATCCCAGTTCCCCCAGCCTCTCCTCATAAATCATGTGTTCCAGTCCCCTAATCATTTTTGTTGCCCTTCGCTGGACTCTCTCCAATTTATCCACATCCTTCCAGTAGTGTGGGGCCCAAAACTGGACACAGTACTCCAGATGAGGCCTCACCAATGTCGAATAGAGGGGGACGATCACGTCCCTCGATCTGCTCGCTATGCTCCTACTTATACATCCCAAAATGCCATTGGCCTTCTTGGCAACAAGGGCACGCTGCTGACTCATATCCGGCTTCTCGTCCACTGTCACCCCTAGGTCCTTTTCCGCAGAACTGCTGCCTAGCCATTTGGTCCCTAGTCTGTAGCTGTGCATTGGGTTCTTCCATCCTAAGTGCAGGACCCTGCACTTACCCTTATTGAACCTCATCAGATTTCTTTTGGCCCAATCCTCCAATTTGTCTAGGTCCCTCTGTATCCTATCCCTGCACTCCAGCGTATCTACCACTCCTCCCAGTTTAGTATCATCTGCAGATTTGCTGAGAGTGCAATCCACACCATCCTCCAGATCATTTATGAAGATATTGAACAAAACCGGCCCCAGGACCGACCCCTGGGGCACTCCACTTGACACTGGCTGCCAACTAGACATGGAGCCATTGAACTCTTTGCTCTGAGTAGTTCCCCTTGTGCTGTTCTTGACACCATCTCATGTATAGATGGCATCCTGCTATCACTTACTCTGTTTGCCTCAGACATAGCAAGAAGACTTTAAAGGCAACACTAAAATGGTGCCTAGATTCCTGCTCATTTGAATCTGTTGGATATTGGCAGTGTGGGTCAGTAGTCCCGAAGATTATATAACTCACTATTTTTAGTGGTTTCAGGTGTACTTTCTATGCAGTCTTTAGCCATACAAATAGAAGAATAAAACAGCTTAACCCAAGAGAATGAAACACAAAGGCTTTTCTTCCTGATTTCATCAGGAAGACTGGAGCATAAAGGGCAAAGGTTGACTTGTTAAAGGCTTGTTAATTTAAAGTTAATCTCTATTTGGGACAGATTTGTGCTTTTCTGTATTGAGCTGGCTCATTACAATCTAATAAACTTTGTGGAATTAAACTCCACAATATCAGTGTGTGTAAGATAAATAGTTGTAGAGATTGAACACAATACATAAAATGATTAGGACAAATGTGCAAAATTATACTAATGGGATATCAGTTTAATAATCTTTAGTTTTCAGGCATAAACAACTTTTTTCCAAATATATTAGAAATTGCAATTTCCATCATTAGTAGCGTTTGCTTGCTTTGCTCAAGCTGATGGAAGTAGCAAAGAATGCAGGAAGATGTTTTTGATCCAAACAACTGACAATTAAAATTATAATTGCTGACTGTTAAAAACCTGAAGTACGGTGTGAGGGACCATACAATTTAAATGAATAAAAGCCCTGGAACTCAATTATGGGTTCCCAAAACAATTAATAGTCCCCCAGATCTGGGTTTAAGTGACTTGCTCAGCTTCACATAGGAAGATTTGGTGAGGTGGGGATAGAACTGAGCTCTCCCAAGGCATCAAAGAGACATTATTAAGGGGACAAGAGCAAACTATCCCACTGGCTAGGAAAGAAAGGAAGTATGGCAAGAGACCACCCTGGCTAAACCAGGAGATCTTCAATAATTTAAAACTCAAAAAAAAAAAAAAAAGGTCCTACAAAAAGTGGAAACTCAGTCACATTAAAGGATGACTATAAACAGATAACACAAGTATATAGGGATAACATTAAAAAAGCCCAGGCACAAAATGAGATCAAACTAGCTAGGAACATAAAAGGTAACAAGAAAACATTGTACAAATACATTAGAAGCAAGAGGAAGACCAAGGACAGAGTAGGCCTGATACTTAATTGCGGGGGGGGAAGAAACAATAACAGATAATGTGGAAGAGGTCCTTACTGACTTCTTTGTTTTGCTTTTCAACAAGAAGGTTGGTGGTGATTGGACGACCAACATAGTGAATGCCAGTGAAAATGAGTGGATCAGAGCCTAAAATAAGGAAAGAACAAGTTAAAAATTATTTAGACAAGTTAATGTCTTCAAATCACCAGGGTCTGATGAAATGCATCCTAGAATGCTCGAGGAGATACTTGCTAATGGCTCAGATATCTTTGAAAAGTCATGGAAGACATTCCAGAAGACTGGAAAAGGGCAAATATAGTGCCCATCTATAAAAAGGGAAATAAGGACAACCCGGGAAATTATAGACCAGTCACCTTAACTTCTGTACCTGGAAAGATAATGGAGCAAATAATTAAGAAACCAATTTGCAAACACACTTAGTGAGTATCATTAAGTAACTTAAGTAACAGTTAGCATGGATTTGTCAAGAACAAATCATGTCAACCAACCTGATAGCTTTCTTTGACAGGGTAGCAAGCATTGTGGATGAGGGGGAAGTGGTAATGTGGTATATCTTGACTTTAGTATGGCTTTTGATACTGTCTCGCATGAACTTCTCATAAACAAACTAGGGAAACACAACCTAGATGGAGCTACAATAAGGTGGGTGCATAACTGGTTGGAAAATCGTTTCCAGAGAGTAGTTATCAGTGGTTCACAGTCATGCTGAAAGGGCATAACAAGGGGGGTCCCGCGGGGATCGGTTCTGGGTCCAGTTCTGTTTAATATAGTATAGTAATTTAGATAATGCCATAGAGAGTACACTTGTAAAGTCTGTGGACGATACCAAGCTGGAAGGGGTTGCAAATGCTTTGGAGGATAGGATTAAAATTCAAAATGATCTGGACAAACTGGAGACATGGTCTGAAGTAAATAGGATGAAATTCAATAAGGACAAATGCAAAGTACTCCACTTAGGAAGGAACAATCAGTTGTACACATACAAAATGAAAAATGACTGCCTAGGAAGGAGTACGGCGGAAAGGGATCTGGGGGTCATAGTGAATCACAAGCTAAATATGAGTCAACAGTGTAACAGTGTTGCACAAAAAGCAAATGTCATTCTGGGATGTATTAGCAGGAGTGTTGTAAGCAAGACACGAGAAGTAATTCTTCCGCTCTACTCCACGCTGATTAGGCCTCAACTGGAGTATCGTGTCCAGTTCTGGGCACCACATTTCAGGAAAGATGTGGACAAATTGGAGAAAGTCCAGAGAAGAGCAACAAAAATGATTAAAGGTCTAGAAAACATGACCAATGTGGGAAGATTGAACAAATTGGGTTCATTTAGTCTGGAAAAGAGAAGACTGAGAAGGGACTTGATAACAGTTTTCAAGAACGTAAAAGGTTGTTACAAGGAGGAGGGAGAAAAATGTTTTTTTCTTAACCTCTGAGGATAGGACAAGAAGCAATGGGCTTAAATTGCAGCAAGGGAGGTTTAGGTTGGACATTAGGAAAAAATTCATAACTGTCAGTGGTTAAGCACAGGAATAAATTGCCTAGGGAGGTTGTGGAATCTCCATCACTGGGGATTTTTAAGAGCAGGTTGGACAAACACCTGTCGGGGATGAAATAGATAGTACTTAGTCCTGCCTTGAGTGCAGGGCACTGGACTAGATGACCTCTCGAGGTTCCTTCCAGATCCATGATTCTATTTGCCTGCCTTAATCACAAAGCCATCCTTTTCCCTTCCTGCAGTCCCCTGCCTTGTTCTCTATATATGCTCCTACTTCTATAGTGAAAGAGGCAGGGATCCTACAGACAGCCTCATTCACTACACAACCCTGATTAATTCCCTCAGCACCATCCTGTTCACTGTATGAGGCTGAATCCTGTGGAGGAAATAGTATGTGATCATGTAATTAAAGATAGTAGTATAATGCATACACAATGCAGCTGAATTAAGGATGCCTTTGCAGTCTACATTATGGCATTTCCTCACTAAAGTGCTTGATTGTAACAGGCCTATCATGCACAGTTGGTAGGCTTTGAATCCTGAACCTTTGGTACAGGAGCACAGTGTAAGATACAAGATCATTTTCTTCTGCTACCAGCTAATATAATCCCTGGGAGAATGGGCTGCTGGGACCATGTGCTGGGTTTGAGGAGGATGCATTTTGTGCGGGGAGGGGGAAGAGGGGATATCTCTTCTCCCCCAGGAGGAAGTTAAGGATTAAGCGCATAGTCATTTTTAGCTTTTTTTCAAAACTTATTTATCTGAGCCCAGGAAACATCTGACATTTCCGAAGAATGAAATGGGAACCATGGTTTCAAGAAAATCCCAAAGCCCTCTCCAGAAATGGGAACCATGCCTTCAAGAAAATCCCAAAGCCCTTTTTTACTTAACTAATTTATTTTTAGATCAAATTAGGGATTTTCTACCCCATGTCGTCTTTGTGTAGTAGATATCAAGAGAATGTGGCTTGGAGATTAAAACATCTGCAATCTGGCAGATGGGGCACCCTGCTTTAGTAATATCTAGCTCTTATATCACACTTTCCCCCCCAATTGATTTCAAAATCCTTTATAAAGGAGGTCAGTATCATTACCCTCATTTCCCAAGGGAAACTGGCACAGAGGCAAAGGTACCTGTTTCTGGATTGTGGGGGGAAAACATCCTGTGCTTTGCTTTTGAAGGCCTTGTCTACACTAGATCTATTTCTCTAAAAGTTAACTGACTATCAGCAGTAGTGACAGTGGAATGCTAGAATAAACAAGGTACTAGTAATTTACTACCATGCTGTCTAAACAAGTTCTGAGCAGAGCTAGATGACGCTAGGTAAAATGCCAGTGGGAAGTCAAAGCTAGCTTTCCTACTGTTTGTAGCAACAGTGGGAACATTTAAAAAGCTGCCTACTGAAGAAATAGGGGAGTGTCTAAAAATAGGAAAAAAAAATAAAGACTGCTACTAGAAGGGAAGGGAGAAGAGATCTCTTCATTCACCAAACTTTGTGAGCTGAGGGGGACCAGGTGTGTAGTGGTTTTTTTTTGTTTTTTTTTTTTTCTTGCTGCATCTTCCTTGGAGACAGCTGGCAAAACACTCCTCTTCCCAGTTTTCTACAAGCTTTCTCACTAGTTTCTGTTACTGCATATTGAGGGTCCTCAGAGTTGATCATCATCCCCTCACCAATGCGTGATACCTTTCCTGGCACCCCCACCAAGGTTAGACAGGTTCCTAGAAGAACAGCTGCAACTCACCATGTTAATTGGTAGAATCTTGCTTTGATCTCTTGCTCCAAACATAGTAAAAGCATGCTGGTTGTTTCTAGCATCAGCAAATGGATTTTTAGATTAAAAGAGCTTTGCTTATCTTTAATGTGACTTGTGAGAGACATTCTTTAGTAAGATTCATGTTGTCATTTCAGACAGTTAAACTTACAAAAAATTGACCTCCTGAATTGAAAAGAACACACAAGGTTATGAATTCCTAAAGTGATGCACCAAGTTCATTGCAAGCAATGCAGGATTTTTTTATTGAATCTGAGTGTTGCATGCAGCGATTTCCTTAAGTGACACAGCTGTTGGAATCACACTACTTCCTTAAACTATACCATAGTTTAGTAGACTGCATCATTGGGAGATTTTAACTTGCTCTAAATCTCTGAATCGTTTTAATTTTATAGCAGTCCAGTTGATCTTGGGGAGATGGAGACAGAATCCATAGGAAGTAATTCTACTGAATCTCAAGCAAGCTCTCAAGACAATTATGTAAGTAATATTTTGCCATAATTATTCAACTAAACTGTATTTCAGATGAATAATTAGGGCTGTCATAATTTAAAGCACAGTTAATAGCAAGATTAAAAAGTAGTGATTAATCAGTTTTAATCACCCTGTTAAACAATAATAGAACACCAATTGAAATGTATTATAAATATTTTTGGATGTTTTTCTACATTTTCAAATATATTGATTTCAATTACAACACAAAATACAAAGTGTACAGTGCTCACTTTATATTTTTATTACAAATATTTTCAATGTAATAAAGATTAAAGAAATAGTATTTTTCAGTTGCCCTCAAAGTACTGTAGAGCAATCTCTTTATCATGAAAGTGCAACTTTAAAAATGTTGAATTTCTTTTGTGTAACTGCACTCAAACAAAACAATGTAAAAATTTTTAGCGCTTACAAGTTGAAGCATGAAGGGGCATATGAATGTTCAGCATATCTGGCATCTAAATACTTTGCAATGCCAGCTACAATAGTGCCATGAGAACACTTGTTCTCACTTTCAGGTAACATTCTAAATAAGCGGGCAGCATTATCTCCCATAAATATAAACAAACTTGTTTGTCTTAGTGTATGGCTAAACAAGAAGTAGGACTGAGTGAATTTGTATGAGGTGAATTGAAAAATACGATTTCTTTTGTTTATCTTCTTTACAGTGCAAATATTTAACATAAAGTGAACACTGTACACTTTGTATTCTGTGTTGTAATTGAAATAAATATATTTGAAAATGTAGAAAAACATCCAAAACTATTTATAGTAAATTTAATATGGTGTTCTATTATTTAACAGTGTGGTTAAAATTGCAATTAACCACAGTTTTTCAATCTAGTTAATTTGGTTTGTGTTAGTCACATGTGTTAACTGTGATTAATTGAAAAACCTATTAATAATCAACTTTTTGCTGCTCTCACAGTTGTTTCCTAAAGTGTGAGGTTGTGCCCCACCCCTCCCCTCAGATTAGCCAGAGATGCGTGAACAAACCACTTAATTGTTCGTCAAGGTCTGAGTTTTCATTTAAAGACTCTAGCTATATGGTTGTGAAAAAACTCTTGGTCATATTTTCAAGTATAACTAATCTAGCAATGCCTGAGTTTGCAGAAAGCCTGAAATAATACTTCAGTGGGTACTAACTCAGATGCCATTGATGATTTTTTAATGTTAACATTAAATATTTCACTTTTCAAAGTATGTAAGAAAGGGGAACATGTCGTGAAATGCATGATCTTCTGAGATCACTCATTTTGGGTATGCCTTTAACAACACATGAAGATTGAAATGGGGCATAAGGCTATGAGTCAGTCGCAGATTCTGTGGTTTGTTTTGTTTGTTTGTTTTGTTTTTTTGTATGAGGCCTTCACAACTTCCTCAAAATTCCACTAATTCAGCCCCTGGGTGGTGGGCAGTTGCCCTGCTTGCTACCTCCTAACACTGGCCCTATGTACACTTTTGTGATTTATTGTTTGTTTCCTGTATCCTGTCTAACTTTCAATAACCATGCTTGTGCCAAAATCATAGCCTTCGGCCTAAAGAGGACTCAGCTTTCAAAAGTTTGGAGAAGACTGAAGTAGTCTAAAATGTTGTGACCTCTTGAGCAAAAAACAGCAGTACAAGAAGGTCTAGCATTCTGTACAGACTGCTTCCAACTCTGCTGCTTCTGATATAGTACTGTTTGTACAGAGCTTTAGTAGACACTTGTGATAAATCATATACATAGATGCAACATCCCAAGGGCAGTCTTTTAAAAGGTGGTGTATGTTCAAGCATTCACTAAGACTAAGTTACTGAAATTGGTTTGGATCTGCCTTTAATACATCACATATGATACTTTAGTGAAAATAGGAAGGTCTAAATGAAATACAGAAATAATGGAATATGAAGATGAAATATTAAATAGATGAGGTGCATGCTGATCTTAATTTCTTAATCATTAATGTAATTTTCTGTTCTAGGATACCTTTTCTGGCACGCCCACCAAGGTTAGACATGTTGACTATCGGGTGGAAGGCGAATTTGACTTGGAGGCATGTTTGAATGAGCCACTTAAAGACTTCAGTACTGTGAGCTAAGTGGTGCTCTGTGCAGGCTGTTCTAAGGGAAACATTCTTTTAAAAGTTTGTGAAATGTTCGCCTGGTATACTCAAACTGGATGTTGTTCCCTACCTGTCAATAGTGCAGAAGCTTAAGCAAGTTAAAGGGCTGTTCCTTAATTTGTGGTCTGTCTACGTATTTTCTGGACCAAATTTGTGTAAAGAATAGAACTTAAGTTGTGTGACTTCCTGTTTGACTTCTAATTTATGTATATCAGATGGTTTTACAAGACTACTTTTTTATAATTATTCAGAAGATGGAACTAGTCATAGAAGAAACAGCCAAAGGCAACACTGCTATCCTTCAGCAAACTTAGTTCTGTAAAACTTCAGGTTGTCATTCATTTCCCCATATGTGAGTTTATTGCTTAAGTGCTCTGTTGGCAGTCCACAGAGCAATGTATCCACAGAACAGGATAAGCAGGTGTGGTTTGAGATTTTGCATGCTGCCCTGCTACTGCGTGAACCAACTCTCCTGCAAAGCCTGCCTACAGAGGGTGAGGGGAATTTAAATTCAATACCAGCTGAATCCATGGCCTCTCAACAGATAAACTGAAATTTTTATTTCATGTAGCTACAATGACCTGTAACAACTTTAGCTCATTATTGGACTAGATACTTGAACTATTGATCTAGAAGTGGGGAGGGCTCTGTCCTTGTTTCAAGAATCACCCAACCTCTAACTTTCACTTTGATTTCCCTTAATTGGCAAAGATATTTGTGTAAGTGCTTTTTCCACATTACAAGGTTTTCCTTTTTCTGATTCATTTAAAGTAAATTCCTTTCATCTGCAAAAGCTTATTTTGTAATGGTGGGAAAGGACATAATATGTAAGTTTAATATGGAAACCCCATTTAAAAAACAAAACTGAAGTGTGGCAGCGATGCATTAAGAAGCTGTAGCCTAAATTTGGTACCTGTAAATAGTCATGGATAGACATAACTTATCTAACACTTAGAGAAAAATAAACAATATATCTAGGGAAAGTGCTTGATTTGTATTCACTGTTTTTAATGTAAAACTGTTGTAAATGATAACTTTGTACATACATTCTGCTGAAAGCAGTTAATGTTTCTATTGCTTTTGTATGGGACAGTGTTGCTAAAAATAAATACATTAAATATGAAATATTTACAAGTAGTTTTTGTTAAATTTTTTCCTTATGGAAGTAGTAAGAATGAGATTGCTTGAGCTTTCTTCAAAGTAACAATCTAATGAAGTCTTGGATGCATGCTATGCCTAGGAATGGCATGACAGCTAGATATGCTCTAGACCACCTCCTTACCTAGCATAGCATGTGACATGAGTTTCCTCCCTATCTCTGCCCTCTGTTACATATGATATCAGGGTGGGGGGGAAAGGTGGAGTGATTTTTTTCCATTCCGTAAAATGGAAATTCCTGCTTCACAGGGTGTGCTATGAGAATTGAAGTTTATAAAGTTCTGAGTACTTTTATTCATAGCCAGCACCGGGCTCTCTTGTCATAATGGGTGTTCAGGAAGGATCCAAAGAGGAAGGGCTGCTAACGTAACGCCCAGGGAAAAGAATCCTAAGACACTGGATCGGTTCATCAAAAAAGTCTACTCTGACAGTCTCCAACTGTGCATTGCCAATGACAAGGTGTGTTTGGCAAAATATGATTATCTGCACTGGAACAAATTGTCTTAGTTTATGGAAAGAGTTAAAATCATCATGCTAGAGGGGCAACCCACAGCTAAAATATCCATGCAGGTTGCTTTGGATGCATCTGATACAGCTGTGTGCATCATGGCCACAACAGTGGCAGTGTGAAGATCATCCTGGCTCCAGTCATCAAGAATACTCAGGAAGGTCAAAACCAAGATCATGGGTCTTCCATCTTCAACTCAGAGATCAACAAGGGCCTCTGCTCATTAAAGGACTGTAGAGCTGCTTTACATTCTTTGGGATTGTGCACTCCATCCCCAAGGAGAAAGCAAGCCAGAGCTCAAATCTCCTTCGGATAATGTCCCTTTGCTCCATACTGTTGTAAACAACAGAGGTCGCTGGAGCCACTGAAGAAAAAGCAGGCAACCCACTGCCGCCTCAGCTATGGTGCCCTTATTATCTTCCTCTCAATACCAGGTTTCATGCCACAGCTTGGCAGAGTTTCTACCAGTGTCCCCCCTCACCCCACCCCCCACTTTTTAGCAACTATTCTCCCCCCCAAACACTTAGTAGCATTACTATGGACCAATGGGTCTGAGAGGAACTGCATGGACACAATAGTCATGGTCCTGTGAGAAGTCCTCATTAAAATGGTGGAAAAAACCCACTTCAGTTGTGCCGTGGAATACCCCTCTCTACAACTCTACCTAATAAGACACTGGTGATAGATTCAGGGATGGGGGGAGCTCATCTAGGTCACCTTCAAAAATATGGCCTATATTCCCCTCAGGAAGGTCATTGCATATAAATGCTTGGAACTCAGAGTCCTCTACCTAGAATGCAAAGCATTCCTGCCTCTACTCCCAGGGATACACAATCCAAGTGCTGACAGACAATGCCACAGCTGTGCATTATGTCCGCAGGTAAGAGAGAGCCACGTCAGGCTGGCAGGACATTTTGCTCTGGACTTGGTATATTCATCACAGATCACGCCAATGGCCCTGTATCTCCCAGGTGTTCAGAAAGCAGCTCACGTCAGTAGACAGTCCTCAGACTATCCCAGATAGTCATCAGATGAAGTGAGCTGTAGCTCATGAAAGCTTAGTCTCTAGAGCATAACAAATTTATTAAGGTGCCACAAGTCCTCCTGTTCTTTTTGCGGATACAGACTAACATGTAACTCTGAAATCTGTCAAAGACTTATTACAGAAAGTCTTTCACAAGGGGGATTCCTAAATCTAGAGCAGTTTGCCGCAGACTAGAACAAGAAATATCAAGTGTTTTGTTCTAGGTAAATGGGTCTAGGCCAACGTTACTGTCGGCTGCCTTTCTCACCTGCTGGACATTGGGACTTACAGAAGATTAAGGTTGGAAGAGACCTGGATTCTCCTTCCTTTTTTTAATTTTTTTTTTAAAAAGATGGACACTGTATTTGCCCTTTTCTAATCATCCAGGACCGCCCCTGATCGCCATGAGCTTTCAAAGATAATGGCCACTGGCTCTACAGTTACATCAGCCAACTCCCTCAGCACCCACAGATGGATTGCATCTGGCCCCATGGACTTGTGCAGGTCCAGCTTTTCTAAATAGTCCTTAACCTGTTCTTTCACTCTGAGGGCTGCTCACCTTTTCCACATACTGTGCTGCCCAGTGCAGCACTCTGGGAGCTGACCTTGTCTCTGAAGACCAAGGCAAAAAAAAGTGTTGAGTACTTCCGCTTTTTCCACATAATCTGTCACTAGATTTCCTCCTCCATTCAGTAAGGGTCCCACACTGTCCCTGACCACCACCTTGTTGCTAACATACCTGTAGAAACCCTTCTTGTTACCCTTGCTAGCTGCAACTCCAAATGTGCTGTGGCCTTCCTGTTTACACCCCTGCATCCTCAAGCAATATTTTTATACTCCTCCCTAGGCATCTATCCAAGTTTCCACTTCTTGTGACCTTCCTTTTTGTGTTTAAGCTCCCTGAAGATTTCTCTGTTAAGCCAAGCTGGTTGCCTGCCATATTTGCTATTCTTTCTGCACAGTGGTCTGGTTTGTTCCTTCACCCTCAATAAGGCTTCTTTAAAATACAACTAGCTCTCCTGGACTCCTTTCCCCCTCATATTAGCCTCCCAGGGGATCCTGCTTATCAGTTCCCTGAGGGAGTCAGTTTGCTTTTCTGAAGTCCAGGGTCAGTATTCTGTTGCTTTCCTTTCTTCCTTTTGTCAGGGTCCTGAACTCAACATCTCACGATCACTGTTTGAGGTATCCTTTCCTACTGATCGCCATAATGCCAGGGCTCCTGAGAAGGCAGGCTGGTGATCATGATAGGCCCAGTATGGCTAACCAGTTCTGGTATTCCAATCCAGTGAACCTTTCAACACCACCCTGCTCAACCTTACCTGCTCTGCCAGACATGATCTCTCAGAACAGCAGTCAGATCTGACTGCCTGGCTGATGTCCACTGAAAGAAGCTCTTCAGCTGAAGTTCAGAACATTCTGCTCCAACTTAAGAAAGTCTCCACAAGGGTCCATCTAGAAGCAGTACTTGCATATCACCCTTGTAGCCAGGGCTACACTGTATTTTCTCTCTCTACTGTGACTAGGTTGTTTAAGGACCTAACTCATGCTGTCCCTACAGTTCAGGAGCCCTCTTCCTCTGGGGACCTCAATATAGTATTAACAGGGTTGAGGGGTTCCCCCTCTGAGCCTTTCAGCAACTGCTTCCCTAGAGGTAGGGCATCTGCTTTTTTATTTTAATTGATAAACACCAGTGAAACACCCCCAGTTAAAAAAATTGGTATTTAGCCAGTAAACACCATTCGAACACTGGAAATAATTACTTGTATCTAAGGCAGAGGTGGACAAACTATGGTCCTCAGGCCTGTCCTGCCCTTGAGCTCCCAGCTGGGGAGGCTAGGCCCCAGCCCCTCTCCCACTGTCCCCCCTCCCCTGTAGTCACACCACTACGTGGGCAGCACAGCTTGTGCCCGCCCACCTCCCAGGCTTTCCAATAAGCCAGTCCTGCCGCTCTGAGTGGCCCGGTAGGGGGGCAGGGAGCAGGGGTGTTGGATAAGGGGCAGGAGGTTCCTGGGGGCAGTCAGGGGACAGGGAGCAGTTGGATGGGGCGGAAGTTCGGGTGGGGGCGGTCAGGGGATGGGGAGCAGAGGGGGTTGGATAGGTGTGGGAGTCCTGGGGGGCCTGTCAGGGAGCAGGGGGGTGGATGGGGCAGAGCAGGGCAGTCCAGGGACAGGGAGCAAGGGCAGTTGGATAGGGGGTGGAGTTGCGGGGGGTCCTGGGAGGGGGCGGTCATGGGACAGGGAGCAGGGGGGGTTGGATGGGTCAGGAGTTCTGAGGGGGGCAATCGGGGCAGGAGTCAGGCTGTTTGGGGAGACACAGCCTTCCCTACCCAGCCCTCCATACAGTTTTGCAACCCCGATGTGGCCCTTGGGCCAAAAAATTTGCCCACCTCTGATCTGAGGGCTTGCCTACTCTGATCAGTAATGGAGGCTACAAGGATATGATTTCTAAAGCACTTTAACCTTGCATGTTAATTAGTCCTTCTAGATCCTGCTGGTGTTCACTAAAAGTCCTGTAGTGAGCTTTAACAGATCTTTTTAACAAGCACTACATTAAAGCACACTAGAGAACATTACAAAGATTACTCATGGGCATATACACTATAAGGAGTAATGTATGTTTTTCATTACAGTATCTACAAAGCGCCCTGAAAACTGATTTTTGGACATCTACATAAAACTCAAAATTGCTAAAAACAAATGAAATTAATAAACCCTGAAAAACTGAAGCCCGACCTGTACCACCTAATGTTGAAGGTGGCTTTTTTTTTTTTTTAATAGCTATTATCTCAGCTTGGACAAAGGAAATTCAGGCCCTCAGTGCGGGGTTTGCCTTATAAGTATTTTGTAAGAACAGGGCTACTATCAGTGCTCATCCTAAGTTCCTACCCAAGGTTGTTGCTGAATTCCATGTGAACCAATTCATTCGTCTCCAGTTTTCTTCCCCCAAACCTCACTCTCTGCCACAGAAGATAAACCACATGTTCTTGATGTAGTAAAAACATTATCCTATTTCCTTAACAGGACAATCATTCAGGAACACACCTGGACAATTCATGATGTTTTGGGGAGCTTATGGGTCAACCTCTGTGAGAATTGTCTATCAGAATGGGTTTCCAACTGTATAACAGCATGTTACAAGTTAGCCAGGTTAGGTCCACTGAGCCACGTCAGAGCTCATGCAACTAGAGCTCAAACAACCTCAGCTGCCTTTTTGAAGAATGTCCTTATTTCTGAAATCTGTAGGGGAGCCACATGGAATTTTGTTCATGTCTTTATAAGACTCTATTCAGTGGAGGCAATCAGATTGGATGCCCATTTTGATAGAGCTGTCCTACAACCCTTGTTTAAGTAAAAGAGTACTTGTGGCACCTTAGAGACTAACAAATTTATTTGAGCATAAGCTTTCGTGAGCTACAGCTCACTTCGCTGTAGCTCACGAAAGCTT